CCGCTATAGTATTCATAACATATTAAACAAATTATAATTTTTCCTTCGTTTTTCAGCAATTTAACACAAATGTTAAAGCGGTTAATTCCCAAGAACAATAATGTTCAGGCTTAAAAATATCAAAGAAGTCCATCGTTCGTTGCGCTAATGTGGCTCGTCAAGCAAAATGGTCATCGTTACTCGCAGATTTTTATGCGCTGGAGGCACAAAGGCCGGGCACTATTACGCCGACAAAAATTAGGTTTCCGAGTTACCGGTGCAGACCCGTCATCGATCTCAGAAATTCCTTAGCAAACACCTACTCTTTCATTTCGGGCGGTAGCCGACCTGCCGAAGACGAACGACGTTTAATGGGAGTTAAGAGAGGAAACGAAAGAGGCAAGAGAGGAAGCGGAAAAAAAGAAGGTAAAAATGAGAGAAAATAAGTAGCAGGTGCTCGTGGTAGGCACGGCATGCCATCGCCGGAACTTCGTCATCCAAGATGCCACCCGCGTGCTCTCAGCCTTCACGAAACATCCTTTTCTCGAAATTTCCTGTTACAATGACGTAATTCTTTCTCCCACATAGGGTTATTTAAATTCTTTTAATGCGCTAGCAAATGAAAAGAACAGCTCTATCAATTTGCAAGTTTTTGAACACCCAACGAATTTGGCGTAACATATCATTGAATTTCAAAAGTTATTTTATTTATTAAAAATTTATTCAAGAAAATTTTAAACGTTAATAAAGACAAATCAATTTTAAAAACGCGCTTAATTTTATATATACTGTCGATTGAAATAGATATAGGTACTCAAGATAAACGGCAATTCTTTATTGTGACTTCATTAGAAGTAACATCTGAATTTACGCGACTATATTTGTATTATTATGTATTTAAAATTAATAATGCCGCATGTTTGAAGCTTAATTTAGAGGCTATTCGCATATACAATTGCTTATTATTAACGTTTCAGTGGTTGCTATTATTCACAGCATTAAGAACAATGTCTCTCACTTTATTTAGATAATGATGACGATAGAAACACGCGACGATAATGATGGCGATGCAACGAGACAAAGGCATTGCAATTAGCGGCTGTCGCTTAAGTGCAATAATCAGTCGGATAATTAAGCCGATAGTCTTTCGTTGTAATCCGTGAAATCTGCAACGTAATTAAATGATTCAGCAACGGATATCTTTTGTATATTTTAAATAACGCGACCTTGTATCTTAAAAATTAATAAATTAGAAAATAAACGAGTTTATAAATAACGCAAATTGTTACATCGTGTGAATAAAGCACGAAGAAATAAATAACAACCTTTTTATTACAATGTAACTTATTTTCTCGACTCATAAATATAGGTTGCCATAAAGATAAATTGCGTGACTTTCACGGATTACAAGGTTTGATGCATTATTTATTTGATTAGCAGCGACAGACAAACGTGCAATCTCAATAAAGGACAACGGTACCAAAATACAAAGACAAGAACGTCACGATAAACATCTAACTTGACCAGAATCTTAAGCTCGCGCAGGTTTAAACATGAAAATATAAGACTGAATATATCGTGACGATTTTTCGTAGTGTTGGCCAACCACGAAGAATGAACATTCCAAGAAAATTCGTACATTGCAAACGTTCAACCACACTGTCGCCCTTTGGCAGTTAGTTCCATGCGAAAAAAAGGTCACCATTCATCCTACAAGTCTGTAACCTGTTACCGCGCGCGACCGTTTGTGTTTTCAGTCTCCTACCTTTTCTTACGAATCCAGCACTTTGTAGTCTCATCGGGTTCCGCCGAGGAACCAGGAAAAATCCTATTGTCGAGACCACCGCAGAGAAACTGTTGAGAACGCAGCTTGTTGCTAAGTGCAACATGACGAAAATGACGATCGTCAGCACTCCTATGGTCATTAACATCATGATGAATTATTTTGTATATGTCTTTTCCATTATCGCGAATATAAGGAGCCTATCTCTGATGAATATCCAGGGCTGGGCATGTATTTGAAATATTTTTATTTGAAAAACAGTATTGGTAAGACAAATATATTTTGTATTTTGTGTTTTTTCAGAGTATATGAAAATATTTTGTATTTTGTATCTTGATATTAATAACAAAAGATTGAAAGTATTTTGTATTTCAAATACTAATATTAACAATCAACCTTATTATTTCAATTACAAAGTACAAAAATCTTTCAACCTTTCGATTTTAAATACAAAAATAATACTTTTATGTGATTCGCTGAAATAAAAAATACAAAATACGCTTGTATTGTAAATAGTATTTTAAATAAAAGTATTTCAAATACATGCCTAGCCCTGTGAATATCAAGTTTGAAATTCAAATTTAGCAAACTATTGTAATTCTCCATTGAATACTAACGATCCACGCGCGCGCGCTTCCTAAATTATTTTTCTAAGAAATACTCGAGATTTCTTTTCGAAAAAGATGTTAATCTAGGAACGATAGAATCCTCGTCCCAAGACAAGATTCCCGATGAACTCGTTACTTTCCTCTTTTAGAAAGGAGATAAAATATTCAACTGTGCAGAGCTATCTCGAACCAACGACAAGTTTCGTGTCTGCTAATCTTAATATGATCTTCTGTAAGCCACAAAACAGCATCTGAATCATGCATTAAGCTTCCTGAGAGGACAGATTTAATTAAAAAACAGTATTATTTATTTTTCGATTATTTTTACCATACAACAGGATTATAAAGGAAACGCGGTTTGACGGAGTTCAATGAGTTACGGGAGGACTCTTTATGGATTCCGATCTCGTTGTTCGTTCATGGCACAAGACGCATCGGAAGGGTTGAGGGAATGAGAATGGGACTGGGATCGGAATGGGAATGGAATCCGAAGCTCTCTCTCTCCCCCTTCTCCATATGCGTGCGTCCGGTACGTTCATTCACCGATCCGTCCATTCATTCTACGTTCAACATTGTTGCATCTAAACGCGTACCTGAGCCATTCAACTCAGCCTTCAATCGAGATGCTATAATAAGATAATTTATATATATATATGTATATATATAACATAACTAGAAGCCCTTATAAGAGTCCTTTTCGAAAATATATATATGAAGAAAAAGTAAGCTTTCATTTGTATTTGTAGATGCCAGAAATATAGTTATACATCTGCTCTTTATTCGCTTATGGTTATTAATGAATTATAAATTGAATATAAGATCACAAATGTAAGATCATAAAATACACTGCGTATTTAATCGATAATATTGTATATAATGTTGATAGTTTGAGTGTTGACATGGACGTAGCCAGGATTTTGTTTAAGGGAGAGGGAAGGAATAAATTAGACACGTGGGACTTTTGAACCCGTGGAATAGTCGAGTGATATGAATTGGATATCTACTAGATTTGTTTTGTTTTATATGATTATTTTTAATGAATTACCAGCAAATATATATAAATTACAAATCACATATATTTAATTAACTAATCATTAAGCATAGTCTGTTTAAGCGATTTTAATTATTTATGTTCATAAGATTTAAGAGACACCAAGACCCCTTACTCCTTTTGACTACGCCTACGAGTGTTGACATTAATTTGTATGCTTACAGTTGAGAAAGAGTAATACAATTATTTTATATATTGCAACTATTTATATGCGAATCACATTAAAATATTTACCGTCGCTTAGTTGGATTTTAGACAAAAATTCTCCTGCTAGTCCATCAATAGATACAATACCTCTATTGGAAATATTTTTTTCTAAAACGTTTACGCATCATTGAAGCTCATTTTGAGTGGGTAACTTGTTTTCCAAACCATTTCACATACGTACTATCAATATATTTCCTGGTAGATTTTGTTCAGAAAAAAAGAAAGAAAGACAGAGAGAGAGAGAGAGAGAAAGGAGGAATTATAAATATTTTCAGAAGTATAGTTACTTATAAACAATTATAATACGAATTTGGACTGTGATGAGAATAAATATAATCTTGAATAAAAAAATTCTATATTCGATCAAAGCGGATGACCTCTACAAAGCATGTTAGTGCTTAAATATTTCGGTGTGAATTTGCATGCTTTTCCAATTCTTTAAACAGTGTGCCGAAATTTCTTTTTCTTGGAACGCAATCGTGAACAGTATAACAGAGTAGTAGTATCACATATTAAATAATTAACAAGCAATTTAATAATTTTGATGCCAATATGAATATGAAAATTATTAAATTGCTTGTCAATTTAATACATAATATCTTAGAAAGATATTAGTAATTTAATGCTAATCTAAGTATTTTAAGAACTATATAATTATAATTAAGGGAATGGGTGGAATAAAGGTCTAATTGTAAAATCTTGATATTAATAAAAATTAAAATAACTTGCTACTTTTTTATTATACACAAATGAGTACAGTATCGAATGAATTTATGTAATGTCTTTAAGAAGTTACATGTTACAATACTTTTCTATTACGATCAATATTACATGAAAAAGCTAATTGCTAGAAAAAGGGCCGAAGTAGAATTGTGCCTTTATTCCGTCCATTCCCTCAATTAGGGATCGATCGTATTGAAAATAATATTATATAAAATGTGTATTTTACCGACTCCTCTGTTTATATAACAATATCTTTTTAGCTAACTCTCTTTTTTAATAATTTTCAATTCAACTTAAGAAATAATTCCACTGTAAAAGTATAAATATTATTTCCCAAAAAGAATCTCTCTCTCTCTCTCTTCTCTTCAAAACTAACATATAATCAAAGAAAGGGAACGCGCGCATCCTGGACGAGCAAAATTTTTCGAGACCGAGTCGTGTGTGTCGGCTCTGATTCAAACGTAATTGATGCGTCGACCGCACGCGCGCTCGACGCACGTAGTGGGGATAAGGAGGGAGACTGCGGCGCCGGCCGGCGCGGCGCGGCGCGACGGAAGAG